CGTCGGGGCGCGCGATCCGGCCTACTTTCCACACTTTCGCTGTTCCCATCCCATCGCGCTCTTCATCCCCGCTCCGCCCGTACCTCGTTCCCAGAGGCTGCTTGTAGTCCATCCGTCCGCTGCCTTTCCCTCAGACAACCCAGTGTCTTCTCATGCTTTGAGGCAAGTGCCAGTTCCTCACACGCACCTTATATAGGTTTCCTTGCCCCCCCGTCAGCCAATAGGAGCTCAGAACGCCGCTTTCTTTTCCCGCCGTTTTCTCTTCCCGCCCTTTTTTTTTCTCACCTCTGCCTTCCCGCCCTTTCCAGCCGAAGGTGCCCGGGCCGGGGTCACCTGAAGGTCACGGCCGGGGTCACCTGAAGGTCACCGCCCCTCGCAGGCGTTGCCGCCCTTTCCCTCAGGGCTGAGCCGCCCCACAGGTGGTGTCACCTCAACAACCACACCTTGGCTGAGCTCGGGATGGGGAATTCATTTCCTCTGTTTCAGTGTTTCTTTTTACATTCTCACAAACATTAGGTGTTCCTTCCACAGCAGTAGATGTCCGCAAACGCAATTATATATACATATATATATATATATTTTTTTTAATTGAATTCTGCCACTGGCGCCTCACATCTCCGCCCCTACAGCCAAAATCCCTTCTGAGCTCAGACATATCGTTACACAGAGAAAAGAGTGAAAGAAACTGATGCTTGTTGTCTGAAGGACACAATTTATTTGTAATCTCAAGATGTTCCTGAGTTATGGAGTTGTTTGTATTCTACCATTTATTTACTCACAATGGTTGGAAATGCTCACCTCGGTGCTCTGCACTGCAGTGAATGTTTGCTGTACTCATTTCGTTCTGCCCTTGGCTATATTCTTTCTCATTGTAACAGTGGCATGAAACAGGGCTAAGAAGGATACAAAATGATGTATCCACAACATAGGCTGCTTCCGCCAATGAGTGATTCCAAAGTAAGATGTATCAGTAGCAGAGATGACTTTTGGCAACTGTGAGGAAAAGTTTCCCCTTTAGAGAATTTCCTGCCTGGTCAGCAACACAGGCAAACACAGGCACAGAGAAAGGTGCTCAGGACCCGAGGGAACCAGCTGTGCTGCAGATGGCACATAGCACTGGTGTCTGAGCTTTGGTTTGCCTGGGCCACACTGATTGAAGAGGAATTGTCTTGGGCCACATATATGTGGGTTGCTCTGAAAGTAGTGCATTCTATTTATTTTCACGGAAATGACAACAGATAAAATGAGTAACTGTTTGGCAGAGCAAATTCTCTGCTACAAATGCTGTTTTTTGACACAGCCACCTCCATTAGCGAAGAATTTTGCCAGCAATGCACACGAGGCTGCATGCTGTGGCTTGTCAAAATGTACACCAGCACACATGACCCACGGCCACTGTCACCACTCCTGAAATGCATTATGCACTGCCTCTCTGTGCTCACATCCATAAATGTTTGGCAAGCATCAATGAAGGCAGTGCATGCCATTTTTTCCACACGGTGGGATTTAGTGACATGTGTTTGCTTCATACACGCTTCTATGTCAGGCTGCCAATACAAACTGCCAGTTTGTATTCACTCAAGGATCATCCACTTGGTTGCCTATAGTAGGCTTTAAGTTTTACTGACCTTTCTAAAAGCTGCATTCTAGATTGGATTTGGTAACAACTGATAGAAGAAACTGACTTTGATATCTTGGATAGTAGATGTAATCATCAGTAATTATAAATGATGAACTGCCATGACAAATCTGCTTACATACATTATCCGAAGAAACTTGGGACAAGAAATGACAGGAAAGCTTGTAAATCTAACACCTGTCATTTATTGTCATCTGTGCTAGCTATTTGGAACCTCACAGCTATCTTTTTCTTATTTTCTTCAGAAGAATAAGATTAAGGATGCAGCCAAAAAGCAGACACAATCACTGGACTATACAGTACAGATTATTAGTAAGGCAGGCTCTGATACCTCTGTACAAAACTGAAAACACAGTCTGAAGCCTGATCAGTGCTCATAAGCAATTACATATTGTCTCTTGTCATAGCACAAGACTTTATTCAATAACCCAGACTATGTTTACCACTCCTTTCTGTTTCTTCAGTCTGCAATGCTAACTGTTATGCAGATGTATTTTATTCTTAGCATTTAACTTATTTGAAGAATTAAATATGTGCAAATACCTACAGTGAGATGAGTAGTGGAAATGCTAAGTCACAGCTTGAACCAGTGATTGAGCACCTGGTAGGAAAGCAGGGCCAACCAGGGAAGCTCAGGTGCAAGCAATACACCTGAGTGACTGGTAGTGGTGGAGCCAGGATCCACCCCTTCTCAGACCTCATTTAAGGGTTGGTAGTGGAGTTGAGAGCATCTTCTTTGGGGATCTCTGTGTAGCTTGAGGACTTTATGGGCATTCTGAAGGTGAGCAGTTTCTTTGTCTTATTGCATCTGAGTAGATTCTTATGTGCTGTTACTTAAGTGCTTGCTGCTCTGCCATCTTGTTATGCTTTCTATCTATGTAACTAAATGCTTGCTTCTGAGTGGGCAGTGTGAAGGTAGATTACTTCTAGACAATTACTGATGATGAGAATGACTTTATTTAAATAATTATAGTTCAATTTCTACAGTATGTCTTCCAGAAAGGATTGGATAATCTAAGTAGCACTAAGGATCAAACTAAGAAAGATGATGCAGAATACAATAATGAGGACTTAAAAGAGGTCAACTAATAGCATCTTTCTGTGTAATTCAAGATCTAAGTTGGTATTTCCATGAAAATATATATGAAATAAGATGCTAGAATTGAATGAAATCTGTAGAAAGGGAGTTAGTTCTCAAGCATCTGTGAGTAAGCTCAGTAACATTTAAGTTTATGGTCTAATAGCAACTTGAGAGCTAGTTCAGCACACAGAAAAATAAAGCAAGAATAGAACTCATGTTAGAAGTAGTCTGTGGGCTGAATCAAAAATTTGTCATTAACTGGCTATAAGATGCTAAGGCTGGTTCAGATAGGAATTGCACTCAGTGATGTTTTAGCTAATTTTCCCTTAAGGGAAATCCTATGATAATTAGAGGCACAGTGGAGAAGTTGCTTAGAAGCTTGCTGCAGTGCTCAATACCTCTGAGATCTTACAAGTGATAAAACCTTTTGAACAGCCAAAATTAGAGCTGAGAGCAGCCTTCCAACCAAAAACCATGATAAAGAGGCATTGATTTAATTTCTTTGTATGCTAGTAGACCCTTGCACTAAAAATACTTTACTAAACCACCTGAATTGCTCTCCTTTGCAATGGAGTATAAATTACTGAGCAGAGGTTTTTTGCTAGTACTGTTATCATTTGAACTAGCCACACTGATGTTTTAAGGTGCTTGTTTCACTCAGGAACTCCTTGGAGTGAGATTATTAACTGCTCTTATTTGTGCTGAACTCAAAGAAAAGCATTCATTTGACCTCAAAGAGCAACCATTTGGGTTATAAGGTTTATTCCTGGACTTTAGTGAACTTCTATGCATTGATTTTAATCTACTGTCACAGTTTTCTTTTCATTATCAGTACTCCATGTCATAATATGTAGTGCACTGGGAGCTCTACGTTCAGTTCAGCTTAAGTCCAGTTCCATGGACTTAATATTTTTTGGGTACCTGGTTCTGAGAAAAGAACTTCTACATCTCCCAGAAGATTTCCCCTGTTCCTTTTCTGTTTTCTATTTAGAGGGGAAGATGAAACTACTCACAAGTTGCAAGATGTCCCCTTTTACTGCTTGTCTCTGCATGCTCTCCAGCCATCTCACCTTCAGCATTTGAGTAAGACCTTCGGTTTTGGCCACGCTCTTATTTGGATTTATTAGATTCAATTCCTATTATATTATATGCTGGTATAATATCAGAGTGCAAGATATTTAGTAAATTAGTTTTTCTCCTCAGATCATTGCTGCTTTTTTGTTGTTAGGCTCATCTTCCCACCCTTTCCCTTTTTTCCCCCTTCCTCCTCTCCCAGGGTGTGGGTCTGTTGGTCCCCATGCTCCACTAGTCACGGAACTGGGATGAACTGGCCCATAAACCTTTGACATCTACCTTGAAATTCTGAATGAACTAGGCCAAGGATGCATGTATTTTTTAATGGCTATTTCAACTTTAAAATGCAATGGGAAATAACATCTGTGTTGGTTGGTTTGTTTGACAATAGGGATCAGCACATTAGCTGAAGAACCAATATATTGGTTTATCAAACAAATCCATAATTGATAGCTTAAACTTCCCATTTCAGCTTTAGTGGGTGAACAGTCTTGTTTTTCCTGAATTTTGCACAGGGGACATAATAGAATACTTTTCTACCTCAGTGATTTTGCTTCATAGGAAGCATTGGAGTCACAATAGAATACTTTTATCTTTTGTCTCTAAATGTGCAAGGACCTTTTTCTCAGGTTCCACGTGCCTTGTTCTTAAGGAGTGACTCACTATGGCCTAAAAAGCAATGGAAATCTTCCCAACTGGGGAAAAGTGTGTGGAAGTGGATCAAAGGCCCAGGTGAGCCTCTGTGACTGAAATCTTCTGCAATGAGGGACTGGAGGAGACCTCCGTTCAAGGCACACAGCAAGTGATTCTCAGGGAGTTTCCCCTTATCCCGGCTCCATTGGGACCAGCCACAACTTCCTTGGAGTATGGTAAGGCATTTCTTTCTCAATGCCTCTGGTGAAGTATGACAGAAGTCTGTAGTATGTATGGAGAGCCAAGGATAAGGGGATCCCCAAGTAGGTACCCCATACGAGCAGGGATATGTCCTGAGTGTGTGGAGGGCTCTGTGTTTCTTGGAAGTAGCATGGTGAGGGGACGCTTGTGAGGAGCCCACAGGAGAAACGGAGTTTGAGCCCCTGTTAAAAAGGATGCTTGAGAGATTCAAGATCCCCAAGAGAAACTGAAGCACTTAGTTTATTGGTAATTATGTTGCATTATGGTTGCTGGTGTTGTGACTTTTGTATGTGAGCATGAGTATGGGAGTGTTAGTGTAACAGCAACAAGCTCTAACTTTTTCTCTCTGTGGTGTGTATTTGCTGGATCTGTGGATTGTGTCATCAGAGCTATTGAGACTAGAGACTTTAACAGAGAATTTAAGTTTGCTGAACTGTAGCATGTAGTCTTAAAAGGAGAACCGGAAAACCTGATGTGGACTCCAAAATGTGGAAGTCCTTCAGAGACCTCCCCTTGGAAAGCCCCTATTTGAAAGCTGTAGCAAATGCAATCTTGCTTATACAAGAGGCTGGAAAATTGAAATTTTCTTTGGGAAATTAAGTAACTTTGTATACTACCTTTACAGTTACTGTAGTATTGAATGAATTGAAATGGAAGTTATGGGTTATCTCCAAGCAGGATCATGAAGTACCAAGTGGTGGAACATGAGGGCATGCAAACGTTTGTGGATGGTAGCAGTTTGGTGTGAGATTGCTTAAAAGGCCAGGTATGCTGTAACAACTAGAGATGAAGTAACAGGCTGAGACTCCAGCACTACCACCTCAGCAGAGAAAACAGAACTCACTCTTGTTAAGAGCACTGGTCCTAGCAAAGAGTGTCAATACTTGGACAGACTTAAAAATTTGTGTTTGGGGTCGTGCATAGTTGCTATCTGGAAAGAACAGTGTCTATTAACATCTCAGAACACCTGTAAAACAATAGTAGAATTGCTAGAAAAGTTGCAATTGTCAAAAGAAATAACTATAATATGCTGAAAAGCTTGCCAATCAAATGACAGTGATATAATTTTGCACAAAAACTGTGCAGATACAGCTGCAAAAAATGCGGCAGGAGGAGTTTTCTTCCAACTAATACCCCTAAGATCTGAAGAATTGATTAATGAACCTCTGAAGTACCAGATACAAGATGGGGGGGGGGGGGGGGGGGGGGGGGGGGGGGGGGGGGGGTGGGGGTGTAGGGGTGAATAGCTTCCAATAGCAATTAGAATAGGGATATCATCAGAGGCTCACATTTTGTAGCAGGAATTGTTCAAAACCTAGAAAAAAATCATTGGAATAGCACAAGATTTACATACTCTGTATAGAGCATGCTATAGTGGAAAGATGGGGGGGGAAAAATGAATTAAACTTGGTAAAACAAAGTAGTAAAATCTGTTAAGAAACAGACTTGAAATGACCTGAGGCATCTTATATATATTAGGTAAAGCTACATGCTGAAGAAAAAATTAGTCCTCATGAAGTTGTGTATGGAAGACCACTTCAGGTATTGGCAGGTGGTATTGATGTAAACCAATTAGGCGAACTAAAACTAAGAAAATATAATCTCCTTAGGGTAAGTGTTATCTTCTACTCACAGGTTCATGGCACAGGTGGTACTAACACCTCTGGAAGTCACAATACATCTGTCCAAACTGATGAGTGGATGTATCTATGGACTCGGAGCTCTGAAGCACTACAGGAGAAGTGGAAAGGACTGTATCAAATACTACTGACAACAGAAGCTGCTACCAAGGTGTTAGGAGTAGACTCTTGAATTCATTACACAAGAATAAAAAGCACCTAGCCCACAGTGGCAAGTAGAACCAACTGCACTGCTGAAACTGAAATTTTCACATAAATGAATGTAGCTTGTAAACAAGGAAATGAAAAATGTTATGCAATTAAATGAAGTTATTGAGGTATGGTTACCATTAGAGTATATAGTGATTGTTTGCCTTATATTAACTGCATCAACTGTGTGTGGAAAAAACCTCTTCTGCAGTACTTAAGGGATATATATTCTGCTTGTCTAAAATAACATTTTAGTAATACTTATGCTTATTTATAGTGTGGGATCGAAATAAGCACATGAAATTGATGGAAAAGGTGTTGGATATGCTCAGTTGTCAAAATGTGGCAAGTCCATACCTATGATGGGGATTATCACTATTGAAACAGAGTTGGGGTACAGTATTTGTTATCAAACCTGTGGGGTACTTTGTAGACAAATACAGAATCACAAACATAGATTGTAGAGACCCAGCCTATGAATGAGACCATTTGCCTGGATACAGGGACTAGTCAGTTAGGGAAGGCTCCAGTAGTAAGATAGCTGCACTGTAAATGGACTAGAGAAATGAGTATTTTGGGGGAGGGGGTGGGAACAGGGATAAATATTGGGTGTCAGCCAAAGGGAAAGGATGGCACTTGCTGTGTGGAGATCAAGCTTGGAAGATATCACTCCTGTGGTGGACTGGAACCTTTACCCTAGGAATAGTAATGCCAAAGGTTAACAGATAAATTAACTAGGATAATACAGGCCCAAGTACCCTCAAAAGTCAAGAGAATTGCTCATTCCACCAATGGAAAGACCTGGTAGATTTCACTCATTCATCAGGTGGTTAATTCCCTTTTTAGGAGTTGTAGAATTGGAAAAGGCTGTAGTGAACACCTCAGCAGATATGAAACACCTTGAAAGTAGAACTTTGGATGCTATTATTGCCATTGAAGTCCAAAGCTTAGCCAGAGTGGCTAAGGGAATGCAAAATAGAATGGCTTTAGGTATGTTGTTAACTGCACAAGGGGGAATTGATACAATAGCAAGTACTAGTGGTTGTGTTCATGTAGATCAGAGTGGTGGAATAGAAACAAATGCATATATGAAACCAAACTAAAGTAATGCATGAAGTAATGCATAAAGTAAGCCAAGATGATGTAAGCTGAAACCAAAATGACTTCCTGGCTTCCCAAATTCAAATGGTTAAAGAAGTTTTCTGTGGAATAGTGTGTAATCACTATATGTATCATTGCTTGTTGCACGATTGAATGTTGGAGGTATATCTAAATTTGAAAGGTCAAGAGTGGTGAGGATTAGGATAGTAATCCTCAAAAAGAAAATAGCAATAGGGATTAGTGCATTAGTTTAAGAATCAAAATATTAGGTTAGCATAAGAAATCTAAGTGATAGCTCTGAAACTTCCAGTTTTAGCTTTAGTCTTGTCCCCAGTGCAGAACTGAGGAGAAACAGAATACTTTAATCTTCTATTTCAATGATTGTGGCTCACAAGAAGTATTGGAGTTGCAATAGAATGGTTGTCCTTGCACATTTTGATGCAAAAGATTTTCCTTGGGTTCTGCATACGCTGTTTTTCAAGAAGTGACTCACTATGGCCTAATAAGCAATGGGAATCTTCCAGACTTGGGAAAAATGGATGGAAATGAGCTGCAGTGAATTAAGCTGATGGTGGGGGGGGAAAAAAGCAGGTAGGCACTCAATCACCCGGGGTATTACTGAGCATGCTCAAAGGGAAATTAGCACATATCTATGAGACCATGGAAAAAGAATGAATATGTATGTTAATATACTGCATATGTATGTCTTAACTGTTTAAATGTAGAACCTGAACTCTGAGAGGATGTGCTTGCCTGTCACGTTGCCCAGTGTGCATCATGAGGAATAAAGGAATGCCACTTTCTAACACCACACTGGAGATAGAATTTTTTCCCCTGGATTTTGGCTGACTGCGTTTTGATCAATCACTTGGAATTTTTCTGGAATAATTTCTGTCTGTATTATGTATACTGTAGTCCATTCTTGTTTTTTACATCAATAAAACCTGTAGATAATAGAGAATATTGCATGCTGATTAAGGAATGCAAGTGACAAAATTTCAAGTCGTTAAGATTAGGGAAACTGACTAAACTAGAAGGACATGATTTAGGAAACAATTATCCATCCCAGATGAGAGAGTGCTACAGATTTAATTGAAAAACCTATGGAATGCATTACTGTTAATTAAATCACACCCCATGCAAGTTATTAAAGTATTTTCCCTTGTGCAGGTGATAAACATTCCATTTTGCACAGAAGAAATGAAGCAGAACACAAAGAGGCAATATGAAATTAAAAAGGGACTGAAGTTTTCATAGCACAAAATGTATTATTCAAAAATCAAGGAATTTGGATGCAAATGATGGAACAAGGGGGGGGGGAAAGCTGAAGAAGAGGTCTCATTTGTGTACAGAGCAGCTAGGACAGAGAAATTACACTGGTTGTTAACCTAACTATTTGTTATGAGAAGACCTGTTAGTTAAATTCCAGTTATAGGGTCAGCTTAATTAGACAGGGTATCAAACGTGAGTGTATAAGTGCTACAATGTCACAAGTAAGGTCTTTCTCCTTTTATATAGCCCCAAAACAAACTGAGGAAGTGATGGTAGTTTATTACTTGGATGTGTTCATATTCCAAGCCTAACAAACAACAGTCCAATTTACAAAATACATTTCTAATGCTTTAAGCACAACAAGATCAGGTATACAGGTTTGCACTGCATATATCAGAACAGCATTTTGTCTATGGTGCAGGTCAAGATTCAGCACATCACGCCTCCTGTCATTGGCACCATTATTTCTGTAGCAACAAAACGGTGGCCTTACAACCACCTCTTGCTGGAAGTATAATAGACAACACCTGTAAAGGTAATCTTCAGCTTCCCTGTCACATTCAGATTGCATTGAGGAAAACGATTGGCATGAACAAGAAGCCAAGCAGTACTCTGCTTTCTCCTTTACTGACTTCAACTCAGCTACCTCAATGGCCAGGTTAGCTCAGCACTTTTAATTGGCTTTTGACCACTAATGTGCAGGCTGGCGTGTAAAAATCATATTGCTTATTATCACAAATAAATGAACCTCAGTATAGCCACTCTCTTTCTCTCTATACTTTCTTTCCCTCCTCAGTCTAAGCGTGGCTCTGTTTTTCCAAGACCACTGCCTTACAACATGTCCTCTCATTTAAAATACTTGATCAAAAATATCACCTGCAGCATCTAAGGGCTGCTGTGGTATTGCAAGCAAGCATTAGCAGAATATTTTGCATAATTACTTTTTCAAATCATTTCCAGTACCAAAATAATTGCTCATTGCATTACAGCAGAATTTTTCTGGGTGCAGCATTGCAGTGAGTATCATATTGCAGCAAATATCTAAGATACAATCAGTAGTTTAGGACAGCAGAGGTCAGGTTCCTTGAACTGCTCTCTTCCAGCCAGCGACGTTCTAGGATGATACGCAGCACTCCTGACAAAAGCAGTCTCCGGTTAAGTAACAGTTCAAGTTTAATGAGTACTTACAGTTTATCAGAAATTGCTGCCCAACTCTGATGAAACTTCCCTAAAGAGCTTGACTCGGCTCCCATCTTCTAAGAACAACTGTATCACTTTAAAGTTTCAAATTTATGTCAGCTCAATCACTGTTTAATCAATTATTCCAGGCAAAATTAAATCTAAAAAAAGAACTGTTTTTTTGCTTGAGCTAATTACTGTAAATAATCAATTATTTTATGTGTACATTAAAAAAAAAAAAAAAAAACCAATTCATAACTTGTCTCATTTGTTTATTTTTAATTATATTTGAATGCATATGGATTGCAGAAAGGATGCTTTTAAAAACATTAAGTAGGGACACAAAATCATGCTACACAAATGCTTCTGCTGCTTCTTACTAGGTGGAATTGGCCTCTCACTGCAGTTCAAATAGAAATTGATACAAACTTTTCTCCTTTTTCTTAAATGAAGTAGTGACTAAATAGCAACAAATTGCTCAGAAAAATGTGAGCAAGTTATGGAAGGCCTAAGGAGCCCATTCTGTTTTGTTCACTACAGCTTTCGAAGGTTTTAAATCACCCAGTAATTCATAGGCACAAAGCAGTTCAAGAGGAACTCTCCAGCAACTTCTTTGAGGCTCTGGATGGGATTCTATAGCCCAGGATCTCTTTCCTTTGAGCAGACTTCTCAAAGCACTTCTTGAGCAGACTTCTTGAGCGCTTCTCCTGGAGAACGTCGCAATATATCACATACGCTTGTCAGGATCTCTTGCCTCACTCTGCACATTCAGATCTCCCTTCTTTTCCCATCTGACACTACGATGGCTGTGAAAATATATCCGTAACAGTGTACAATAAAAACATGCACAGTTCTACAATTATAAAAAATTAAAATGAGTGTAGTCCAACTTTCAGGATTTTAAATTAAGAATGAAACTGCTGTGTAAAGTGAGCTTCATCACTGAAGTCTTTACTGTACACATAGCACCTGTGTCCCTCACAGAAAGACTTCCTACTGACTTATATGACACGTGAACATAATTCTGAGCAACACTATGGAGAACTGTTTGTAAAGCTCTGCTTCAAATTTCACCGGTTGGCAATTTTCTTGTGTGTATCATTAAATCATTTGGCCATTTGTCACATCCCTACTCCCATATTTCCACTGCTGGTTTTAGTTACATTTTCTCCGAGGTATAAAGCTGTTACAGGTTTAACAAACTCTTTTTCTCCTTTTCTCTTTTTTGGATGAGGGATGAAAGAAAGTGGAGTGGGGATGAGGGCCTTTTGAAACTGTTAAGGCTAGTGACAGTCTTTGGAAGGGTGATTCTCTATCATTCCATTTGTGTCAAATGTGATCAGTTAGAATTAGGTACAATTATTTAAGTTATTAATGAACCCAAAAATGAAGTGAAAATGAGAAGCGCATAACAAACTTTAAGTGTAACTTAAGTCTGTAATTCAGATCTAGAGACCACATGTCTAACTGTCAGGACCCTGAGCTGGCCCTAACGAGGCACAGCTGTGCTAATGAAGCAGCGTCTCCCAGGTGCTGCGGGACTGCGGCTGCCCAGGCACAGCTGAGCCTCATTGAGATATCAGGGCAGGGCCTGCCCCCAAGCTTCTTAAGCTCCACTGCAGGCCGCTGGGAGCTGTGAGGGAGTTCCTCGTCTGCAGAAGCAGCAGTAAGGTTCTGCTCCTTTGTGCTGCTGGGGCTGAAAGGGAGGCGCGAGGGGCTGCTTTCAAAGTGAGACCTTGGGATTCTATTTAACTTTCTCTGTTTGTTACTTTGTTTCAGGCTGTAGTGAGACTAGTTGCAGTGAGAATCAGCTCAAACCAGTGAGCCGTGCTGGTAGTAATGGGGCTACAGAGACGGTGAGTGCTTGGGAGTTATCAGGGGCTCTCTGCCTGCAGCAGGGGGCTGCTGCACCTCTCCTCCTGCTCTTCTCCTCCTGCTCTCTTTGGGGCTGGTGTAGAGCTACTGCTGAGAGTGGTGTTGCCTGGCTTCCTTGTAGTTTCTGAGGGGGCTGACACAGGGCTGCTGCTCAGTTCCTTGAGTTCCAGCACAGCCCTGTGGTGCTCTCAGTGCCCCAGGTGTTTTTTGTTTTTTTTTTTTAAGCAGGTGCTTCAGTTCTTCCTGCTCTCATCAGTGGGAGTCAGTAGGATGGAGCTGAATTCCTCTAGCCCTGGTGCTGCTGGAAGTAAGAAGCAGCACAAAGGGCTTCTGAAGGCATTTTCTCCTGTCATAGGCTGAGTGGGGGCTGCAGAAGGGCCTCTTGTCAGCCTAAGTCAGCGAGCAGTTCTGGAAGCTGTAGGTTTGTGGAAGTGGTGAGTGCTGGGAGTCACTAGGTAAGTTCTGTCTTGGGATGTAAGGCACTGCTTGAATACCTCTCTTTCTTTAGGATGGGCATGGTGGCTGGGCTCCCTCAGGACTGCTGCTGAACTCCCTGAGGCCAAGTATGACCCTGGGCTGGCCTCAGCCCCCAGGTAGTGTTTTGTTGGTGTTTCAACCCCTCTTGCTTCCAGGAGCAAGGAGGATGGAACCATGTATTTCCTTCCTTCCTGCTCTTCTCCCCCTCCCCCCTGTGTGTAATTCTGGGAGCATGATGTCATTCCTACTGTGGTGACATTTTGCATGATAGGCATGGTGTTGTGGATGGCTGTATTCTTCTTAGGAAAGATGGACTGGCAAGGTGCTGGAACAGCTGCTCTTCCAGTGAGACAACTGGAGCATACTGAGCTCTGCCTGGAGATGAATGAAGAACTTCCAGAGCAGGTTCAGTGTCCTAGCAGGTAATGGGTAGCTGTGAGCCAGCAGTGTGGCTGAGAAGGCCAACATCATGGGGCGCATTAGCATGAGCATGGCCAGTGGCGATTCCCCCCCTTCTAATCTGCCCTGGCAAGACTGTGTCTGGATTACTTTGTCCACTTCTGGGCTCTGCAGGGCAAGAAACACAACAAGCTTGTGGAGAGCAACAAACTGAAGGACCTGGAGCTTCTCCCTTCTGAGGAATAGATGAGACCTGGGAAGAATCTCACTAGCGTTGGACTCCTGCACTTCAGGTATTTACTAGTTGATGGGAAGTGTGCAGTGGTAGAATGGAGCTAATGTTTCCAGACCTTAACACAAGTTCTATTCAAGCACAAGGGGGAATGATTTTACTGTGGGAGTCTCCTCTGGGGATTTTCAAGTGGTGTCTGGGTGCTTTCCTGGGTAATATGCTGTAGGGGAGGCTTTATCAAGGGGGTGGGACTGGATGATCTGTGGAGGGGCCTTTCCATTTCCTATGGCTCTGTGATTCTGATCTCCTTGCAGGGTGAGGGCTGCAGTGGAGTGTCTTGCAGCAAGGGTTAGCCCAAGTATGTGTGCAGTTTCATCTTTGGGATGATGGAGGTGAGTGATGGGGATCCAGGGGTGTGAGCCCTTGAACCCAAAAGCTGCCCTTTCTCATGCCTAGGTGTGGAGATTCCAACACTGGAGGCAGTTCATGTTGCTCTTCCTGCAGGTTCAGCACAGGAGTGAGGATCCTGGCAGTGTCTCTCTAGTGCCTCTGGAGAGAGTGAGCTTTGTCCTTTTGTCCCTGGGATGGTGTTCATGGCTCAGGCTGGGTGCCAGAGGACAAGCCCCTTCTGTGTAGCAGGTGTGCCTGCCCTGGTGGGGTCCTGCACTTCTGATCTGTTTCTCTTTCTCTCAGGTTCAGCTGGTCTTACAAGAAGGTCAACATGGTTGCTTTGGAGTGGCAATCTGGAAGGCTTGAGAAGCAGAAGTGGAGCTGACCTGAGAGGTAGGTGTTGGTGTGTCCCACAGGCAGTCTCTTGGCTGTGGCAGATCTCTCTTTGTTTTCTGGGACTTAGAGGTGGTGGTTGAAGTGGCTTGTAGATTATTTGGCTTAGAAGTTTGTGGTTTTTGTGAGGGCAGTCATGGAGGTTTCTG